CCAGGGATTGAACTCGGGTCCTTGCGCTTGCAAGGCAGGCCACCGAACCGCTGAGCTAAATCCCCGGCCCGCTCACACTTTTGATGATCTGGACTCACCATTTGAGGACTGCTGGTCAGGTATTTTGTAGAATTTTCCTTGTCTGGGATTTGTCTGATGTTTCTTCTCATGACTAAAGAAGGTTATGGGTTTGGGGAGGAAGACCACTGAAGTAAAATGCTATTTTCATTATATCAAGTATACATATTATTGGGCCGGGGATTTAGCTCAGTGGTTCCACTTCCTGCCTCAAGTATACATACTATCAATATGACTTGACCTGGCAGATGTAGAGTCTGTCAGGTTTCTCCACTCTAGTTATTTGTTTCTCCATTGTCTGTGTTATACTCTGCAAAGAAGCCACTAAGTGTATCCCATGCTTAAGGAATTAGGGAGTTATGATTCATTTTCTTCAGAGAAAGTATCTACATAAATTAATTGGGTTTGTTCCACATGAGAAATCTGTCTATTCCATGAGAGCTTCTAAGACTAAAATTGACAGGCTTTAGATATGGGAGGAAAGAGACTGGGGGAAGACAGGATGACTGCTAGGTTGCTGTGGGGCCTTTGGCAAGGCCCCTTCCCTCTCTAGGCCTGTTCTTTCAAATGACTGGAAGACCGACTCATGGAAATAACTGTTCATGCTTCTGATGAATGTCTTGGGAAGCGGATGAAGATTTTGATGTTTCTGGTTCTGACCTTGATTCGTTTTGTTAGAGATGGATAGACAAGACTGAATCTTAGAAGGGGGGAACATTAGCTGGGTGTGGTGATACAAACTTGTAGTCCTAGCTATTCAGGATGCCCAGGCAGGAGGATTAATTCCCAGAAGTTCTAGACTGGCCTGGACAACGTATGAGACTCTAGCTCAAAAGAAAAAGAAAGTACAAAAAAGAAAGGATACATCTTGTCCACGGTAATTCAATACCTCAGAGATAGAGCCGAGAATGCAGAATCCCAAGTCAAGGCATCTTGTGCAGAGTAAATACACATCTCCCTGAACTATCTGGAACCAGTCTCAGTGGGCACATGTGATAAAGAAAGGGGGAAAGGGAGGTACTAGGCTCAGAGGCCCTAGAATGGGCCAAGAAGAGGTCAGCCTGGCAAGAGGATCTCAGCTAGTCCCAGAGGTAGCCAACCTGGCTCCTCTGTTTTTTTGTTTTTTTTTTTTTTTTTTTTTTTTTTTTTTTTTTTTTTTTTTTTTACTTCCTCCCTGGTACAGAGGATTGAACTCAGGGCCTTGTGCACCCCTCGATAGTCTGCTACTGAGCTATACCCCTAGTCTCAGTCTGGTTCCTCTTGTCTCAGTCTGCTTTACTACACAACAGTTTTCTTATCTATAACCTTAGGGTAATCGTGCTGGGGAATCAGCCCAGGAAAAGCAACCTGCTTAAGATCACAAGATAGATTCTAGCCCTGAAACTAGTCTGAAGTCTAGCCTTTATCATACTCATCACTGATTACTTTCTGCCCCCTCCCCAATCAAATCTCTAATGCTTCATGGAGGCATTTGAATCTCCTCTTCATCTACTCAGAGAGAACCTCTCGTCTTCAGGGTCACTCTTAGGACCTATTTATGGGATTCTAATGTAGTTGGCAAGGGTGCTCATGTCCTGGCCTGAGGCCTGGAAGGAGGAGATGTTCTTTTCCCAGATCAACATCTTGTTCCCTGTGCCCTCACTTCTCAGTCTGTGCCTCCACAAAGAAGGGTTGTTCTAGAAGGTCTTTATGATCACACCTAATTCAAAATACAATCTTTGCTAAACATCAGAGAACACAGGCCCTCTTTCCTGGGACCTTAAACAGAAACCAGGAGGAGGATAAATAGCCACAGTCCCAATATACCCTGTTCCTGTGCCTGTTCCCATGCCAAAACTACTTGTCTTCATATCCTTTACAGCTTATTCCCTCTGCAGCAAAGGGCACTGCTCGTAGGTATAAGGTTCCCATAATCTCCTGAGGCCAGACCTTTAAAGTACCACCCATCTCTGTGAACAGAATCAAATTTCCAACAACAAAACTAGATACGAGAACATCTGCCCTTCTTAGGTGACTAAAAGGCCAGCACTGGTTTCTTCAGTTGGGAGTGTAGAGGATGGTGGAAGAGGATTCCTATTATCCGTTCAATAAACACTTCTTGAACACTGATTGTATGTGCCATATTAGCATGGGTGATTAGGGACACAGCAAGAACACAAGAGAAACCAAGTCTTTGTCCTCCTGGAGCCCAGAGTTCAAGTTTAATTTTTTGTGCCATGACCTCTTT